TGTGTGTGTGTGTGTGTGTGTGTGTGTGTTATTAAAGACAAACAGAGCACAGATTTCGTTTTGTCTTTTTCTTGCTGCCCATTTTCTGTTTCTGTCTTTCTCTCCCTCTCTCTTTCTCTCTCGGACACACACACACACACACGCACACACCTTCAAGCACACACACGTAAATATGTCTTATGTGAAGGCAAAGCTCCTGGCGGTCGTCCAAAACTCATCTTCCTCTCTGCAAATTAACTCCTGGAGGAATTCAGTTAGCGGGTTTTCCTCACACACACACACTTAATTGTATTGTTTTGTTTCTCTAACACGATGTTATTTGAATCTGAATCATGTCAAATAATTTCTCACTGTCTCTAATCTAAATGTTTGTAACTTTTTTGTTCTCTGTAGACTCAAAACCGGATGAAGCTGATGGCTGACAACTACGAGGACGAGCACCTGAAGGTCTCATCTCCAAACACAGAGCAGCCCAACAATCACAAACCCTCCCCAGACCAGGTGAGAACTCTGCCCAGGACAGCGAGCCTTCAGCTGGGACAAATCTGCAAATGATTCCAGACCCCTCACACCACTTCAAACTAATATCATCACCCTAATGTGGATGAAAGCTTGCTCTAACATAACAATCTTTAATCGTTTCTATTATTCTCGATTACAAGTCTATGTTCAAGTGAAGATAGTGACATTAAGTCCCATTTCAATCTGTGGTAGTAACATTTACTTTTGTCTCTATCTTAGAAGCTGAACATCTTTTAACTTTTACTATGTTTCTGTGCTTACTTACTAACTTCCTGCTTTCTCTGAACTCACGCTGCGGTTCGACTGAACCAACCAATAGGACGATGAGGAGGGTATTTGGGCCTAGCCAATCACATGCCTTTTCCTTTCCTCGGTCCACCATTTTGTACAGAAGGGTGAGCGTCCTCTTTATCTGGATCCAGTCATTTGTGGTTGTGGTCATCGTGTCATTGGTCCTTCGTCTTTCTTACTTTTGTTTCATCCGTGAGTTTGTGGTCGGTCTGGTTTTCGTGAATCAATCATTTCTTTTGTTGTTCGATCGGTTTTCCATTGCTCATTTTTTTCTCCTTTTCATTCAAACCACCCCATTGAGTCTAGAAACTCTTCTTTTTCTGCCATATTTCTTCTTCATCTTGGGGTTTTCTCTTTTCTCAAGAACTAAATTTCATTCGCACGTCTGATTTCTTCATGGGTCATGAAACATGTTTGATCAAATATCCATTCTGTTCATTTTCATTTTCACCTTTACTTTTTGATATTTTCCTCCAGCTCTTGCTCTTATTTTTTTAACTTTAAACCTTTTTAATTGCTTTGATGATTATTCTGGACATGTGCTTTTTGTTATATTTTCTTATTTTTCCATCTTACCGTCATTCTTTCTTTGTTCAGCTGCTAATGTGCTGATCCTCGTGTTTGTCTGTGCAAAATCATCTTTTCCTTCTTGGAAACCTTGGTCATGTTTTAGATCACTGCATGACCCTCATCGTTTCTCAACCTACTTTGTGTGTGTGATGTAGCGGATGATTTAAGAAAGCTGCTCCTTCGCCAAACTGTGAAGTTTAAAAGATTAAAGATTTTTTAAAGCATGATAAAAAGCTGGGTTTTATTACCTTTGACCCTTTGCCCTGCAGTGTTCTTTTAGAATCACACAACAGGGGATTTCAGTATTTTTCTGGCCCAAAGGTCATTAATCGCACATGCATGACAACCTTCTAGTCAAGCAAGAATAAAAAACACACGACTATAAATCAATCACTAATACGTCTAATGAGGTATGCAATGTTTTAGAACGAGACATTTTTCCTTTTGCATCTAGTGTTATGTTTCCAATCCAATTAGAAACATATTCTTGAACAATTTATATGAAGTCTTTTTTAAATATCTTGAAACAAGTTAATAAAAAAGCGTTTGAGAAGATGTACTGTAACGATAACTAATGTGAGTTAGTACATGTATTATTAACAGGGTGGTATTTATTGGAAACAGTGGAGGAATCACCTCATATGAGTAGCACATGCTGCTTTTAGCCCACCTAAGCTCCTCCAGTGGGATTTCCCACTGGGAAGCTTAAAGCCCAAAGGTTCCCCAGCAGATCCGAGTTTGTCCCTGGTTACTAATTAGCGGTAGCACCTCCCTGCTGAGAGAGACAGGCCAGCCGGACACACACACACACACACACACACACAGCTCACAAGTGGCTGTGCGAACTCATGCACAGGCACACTTTCGCCTCAGTGTGTGAGTATGTGTGAGGTGGGGAACTTCGCCACAGCACATTACATCAGAACAGTGAATGACTGTGACTCGTTCCATAAGAGGATCCTGTGCTGCAGTTGGAGAGTTAAATGCTTCAGGAACAACTGCAGCAGAACACATGAAGCGTTGTCGAGGTTCTTTTTTAATGGTGTTTTGCATTTTTAATGGTCTTGAGTGATTTTAGATGCATCAGTTAGAAAAGACAGGGAAGAGGTGTAACTCTGTATTTTGTTTTGTGAGATTTTTCATAGTTTAAAAGTGACTCAACATGAATGAACGCTCTCACTTTTCATACCAAAGCTATCAGAACGCAGTAAGTTGTTGTGCTCATATGAAAGGTGAGCACATTCTGCATTAACCTATATGAGAAATATTCAGTGGAGCACAAAGCTTTTGAGGGAACAGTGTTCATATACACACTGGTGAGTGAAAAGACAACAAATACATTTCCCAGACCACATGGTACAGAGATGTTTTAAAAGAATTAGCGTTTCTTCTGTCATCTTACAGTTCAACCCCCAAATATTCAGTTTACAATGACATGGACGGAGAAAAGCAGGAAATGCAACATGATTAGCAAAATAGTTGCATATTGCACCTGATCAATCACCCATTGTTTCACATAAGCTGCCATGCACAACTACAGTCTGATCTTGTCACTCTGCAGTGTAATGTACTGTAAATTAAAAACCTTTTTAAGTCCTCTGAAGCTTTTTAGATGTGTATTTTACATTAAAGAGGCTTTAGTTGAGAGTTTGAGAGATCCTACAATAACCAAGTGTTTATTAGTCGCAGCGCATCAGCAGCCACGTCTCCACCACCGACAACGTGCTCTGCATTGAAATCAATCCTCTGTCGATGCTGTTCCTGGTCAAATAAATGTATTTGTGCTTCTGTGCACGTGTGTCTCAGAGGGATCCGCAGAGAGGAAGAAAAATCCTGATTTCACCGTATAATGTGGCCATAGACAGCTTTTTCAAAATTCAGCCAGTCAGTGAGGCCAGCTCAATGTCTCTCTTTGGAGTTGTTTCATAGTACAGTAAGAGTCTGGTAGGCAGTCATGGGAGGATAATAAAGACACACACACATACAGAGCGCTATATAAAATTATGTGTCCTGTGGGGTTGTTTCATAGTACAGTAAGACATTGGAAAACACTGTGGACTCATTAAACACACACTGCATACATTGACCATTGCAGGTTGTGTAATGCAATAAAAACATGTAGGCACATACGTACTGTACACCTTAATAAAAGCAGTAAATTCAAAGACTTTCAGAGGTCAGTGTTTTGTTCATATGTCACGTTATTATTACTAGTGTAAATTCAGACATATTTTTAACATTATTTGCCATTTTTTTAATCTCAAAAAGGAAACGAAAGCACTGGTGTTGTTACTTCTGTGTAAATGTCGTCTTTGTATCGCCATCATTCCTTCCATGCTTTCGCCCTGCTTCTCATTTGTCTTGCATTTGATCCGCAGAGCTCCACTGCGGGTCTGGAAAGTGTGGACAGTGATTTTATTTTAAAGCTTTTTGACAGAATACTCCGGATTAGAGTGTGCTGTGAGAAAACAGCTGTTACGCACATGTCGGTTATGTTTTCAGAGCGGCAGAGCTGGATTCTGAGATGTGTTTTCACATATTGTCATATAACACAACGGTCTTGGAGAGATAATGCCATTGTTGCGTTGCAACTGTCAGCGCACATCAACATAACATACAGCAATAAACATGGTTTTAAATGCAGAATGTGTAGGGTCTTTTAAGCATCACTTTTTTTTACCTATTTTTTCCCATGTCTACCTCCCTCGCTCCTCCGGAGGGAAATGTTCAGTAATGTATTTCGTAATGGACTGTAAACTGCTGGCAGGTCCTCACTGGAACATACTGTAACTACAGCTATTTACAACTCTGATAACGACCCTATGTGTGTGTGTCTGTGTGTGTTTCTGCGACAGTGTGTTTGTGGGCTTTCTTGTTCCGTATGGGTGTGTGCACTCACACATATTATGTATAAACACTTATATATTCAGTGTCTGTTCGTGTGAGAAACAAGCAGTTGTGAACCAAGAAGGTGGGGTAACTACACTAGTGGACGTGGTCTGGGAAAAATAAATTACTCCAGTGTGTTTGTGTGCGTGTGTGTGCGTGTGTGTGCGTGCGTGTTTGTGTGAGTGTGTGTGTGTGTCATGCTCACAGTAAATAAGGCTCAGAATCAGAAGCGACAGTTCCTTTGATTTACTTTCACTTTACCTTCAGCTTTCATTTTTTTGCTGCCAGAGACGAGTGAGCAGAAAAGAGTTTTCCTTTCCTCTTCCCCACAAAACCGCCCACATCTAATTCTTTTTATTTGTTTGTCAGGATAGTCAAACACACGAGTCATTGAATAACGAAGGTTGGATTTATTTATATATACAATATGCAAGTCGTGTATGAGCACTTAGAATCCCATGCATGATTAATTTTAGTACAGAGTTAATGTGCTGTGAGGCATTAGCATGGTTGCTATGGTTACATACCATCGACTAGTGGGTTTTTCATACCAGCCTGATTAATCGTCCGACTGTATTAATCAGTCTTTCACAAACCTCTACAGTAACATACCACAGTCATTCAATTCAATATTTAATCTGACGATCCTGTACTTGATGTGTCCAGATAAACAGTTTTAACAAATTCCTGCCGATGTAAGAAACAAGTATCATATAAAATGAATCAACCTCTAGATTCTGTCTAAATTAAATTAATCAGAAATTAAAGTCAAATCAAGACCTGAGACAACATTACATGAATTTTTGAAATTCTTGGAGAGAAGATACAGTGAGAGAGAGAATGATGTTCCTACGCTGAGTGAAAAAGTCCTGAGATTTGTGTGTGTGTGTGTGTGTGT